TTTTGCGTGTCACCTCTGAGGTTCACCATCACTGATTTACACTAATAAAAGAGAAACATGCAAATTAACCATCACTCTGTCACTCTGCCACACCCACCAGCCAATCAGAGTGAGTATGCAAATTAACCCAACAAATATGGCGGTTAATTTGCATATGCAGGCGGGTCGCAGGGGGCAACCCAGGCTTCCAGTGTGCCCTGGGCTCTGCTCAAGGAGGGGCTGGGGTCCTGGGTTGCTGGGGGCAACCCAGGCTTCCAATTCACCCTGGGCTCCACTGGAGGAGCTGGAAAATAAAAAAGGAGGGGCTGGGAGCAGCCGAAGTGGAGAAGCCAAGCCTTGCTGCTGCAGCTGGACCAAAGGCATGGGTCCCAGGTGCCAGAGGAAAACCTATGCCGCAGCCAGGGGAAGGAAGGCCTATTGTGCGAATCTTCGTGCAATGGGCCACTAGTATAAGATAAAGCTTGGTGTGTTCAAATAATAAAGGTGAGTTTGGTGAAGCTGAAGAGAGGATGAAAACTGTGGAAAGGGGCCATTTAAAAAAATATATATATTTTATTGAAATTCTAGAAATAAATCTAACAAAATATGTGCCACACCTCTACATTGAAAACTAAAATGAATGGTTACGAGAAATGAAAGAAAACCTGGAGATATATATATATCGTGTTTAAAATCTGAAGGCTCATATTTTTAAGATAGTTTTCCCCAATTTGATCTAGAGTTAATGAAGTCCTGACCAAACTTCCAACAGTTTTACTTTTCACGAAAAGTGACAAGCTGGTTGTAAGATTCACACGGAAATGCAAAGAGACCAGAATAGCTAAGACACTACAGAAAAGGAAGACTGAAGTTGGAAGATTTAATTAATTTTTTTAAAGACATATTTTTATTGACTTCAGGGAGGAAGGGAGAGGGAGAGAGAGAGAGAAACATCAATGGCGAGAGAGAATCATTGATTGGCTGCCTCCTGCACACCCCACACTGGGGATCAAGCCCACAACCCAGGCTTGTGCCCAAACTGGGAATTGAAACGTGACCTCCTGGTTCATAGGTCAATGCTCAACCCTGGTGCCACACCAGCTGGGCTATTACTTATTTTTATAGAGAGAGGAAGGGAAAGGGGGAAAGAAAGAGAAACACAGAAGTGAGAGGGGAACATCCATTGCAGGCTGCCTCCTGCACGTTCCCTACCAGGAACTGACTTTGCAACCCGGGCATGTGCCCTGACGGGGTATTGAACCGTGAACTCCTGGTTCATGGGTTGATGTTCAACCAATGAGACACGCCAGCCGGGCTTTGCATGTTTGGTTTTTATAA